CTGTCACACTGCCTCTGACACCGTCACTGCGCTGTCACTGCACTGCCTCTGACACCGTCACTGCGCTGTCACTGCACTGTCACACTGCCTCTGACACCGTCACTGCGCCGTCACACTGCCTCTGACACCGTCACTGCGCCGTCACACTGCCTCTGACACCGTCACTGCGCCGTCACACTGCCTCTGACACCGTCACTGCACTGTCACACTGCCTCTGACACCGTCACTGCGCTGTCACTGCACTGTCACACTGTCTCTGACACCGTCACTGTGCTGTCACACTGCCTCTGACACTGCCGGGCGGAGCGGTGGCTCTGTGGCTAAGGATCTGTGCCTGTGACTGGAAGGTTGCCGGTTCAAATCCCACAGCCGGCAGAGGAATCCTACTCCGTTGGGCCCCTAAGCAAGGCCCTTAACCCCAACTGCTCCAGGGGCACTGTACAATGGCTGACCCTGCGCTCTGACCCCCAGCTTCTCTCCCTGTCTGTGTGTCTGTGTCTCATGGAGAGCAAGCTGGGGTATGCGAAAAGACGAATTCCTAATCCAAGAAATTGTATAGGGCTAATAAAGCAACATTAACATTAACACTGCCACTGTGCTGTCACACTGCCTCTGACACTGTGTAATATTCTCCTTGACATTGTCTCTGTGTATCTTTTTTTGAAGTACAACATTTACCCACCATTTTTTTAGAAAGTAACTGTAAAAGTTAATGGTGTAAACTCATGATGCAATGCAGGTAAGAAAACAATAAATCACTAATGTAACTGTCTAGTCTGAAGAAATATTGCAGTGCTGTCCCAGTGCCCCACACGAGAGCACAGTCTTTTTGTAGATATGATCCTGGGGTGCAGTAGCACAAAAACTGACTGTACATCAAATTAACACATGCATTCACTGAAGTGACACAGATTGCTCAGCAGGCTGCACACCAGACTACAACCAGTGGCACACCTGAGAAACCTACTCTCTGCACACTGCGGGGCAGACTTGTGGCACAATATGATCCGAGCAATTGCATGTTGGAATATGAATATGAATATTATTATTATTATTATTATTATTATTATTATTAATAGCTTACACTTATATAGTGCTTTTCT